CATGGTAATGTTTTGGTTGAATTCGGTATAATGTATCGTTTGTCCTCGTACGGACTTAGAGCGATTTTCGTCTCAGATATCGTATATACTTGATGTAATTTTGATCTTATGCATGACTGTTGGCGAGTCATTTCAATTTCATCGTTTAAACATCGGGTGTAATCATCGAACGTTATAGTTCGCGCTACGATGTTACTTTTGACACCTTTCGCCTTTTTTGTGTCCTTTTTACCATCCACCCTTAACGCATACATTTTCGCTCTGAGTCCGACGAATTCAGTCAATATTGCGCCATTATTTTCATCCTTCATTAAACCTGGCACTTTTTTGTTCGCAAGTGGTATACCATATACATTATCGGTAGAATAATCACTCGTGTCGAATCTAATGATATCACGCTTCATTTGTTCATAAACGTCATCACACTCGATGCGATATATGAGACTATCAGTGTCTGTGTACATAATTTCACATTTTTTGCGATACAGCGGTAATATATATTCGTGGTGAAATTCATACAAATAGACCTTCGATATATCGAGTATACACATTCCTACGTAGATCGGTTTGTTGAATTTCACCTCAAGTTTACGAATTTCAATTGCTATCAGATTTTCAGAAAATACACTTCTGCTATGAAAATTCGGCTTCGCGATCATTGCCTCTGCGCCGTATCGTCCATCCCATTGTGTTAATAATTTTACATCGATGTGATTGCGCACGTTCTCCATGGTTTTGCCGAATACTGCATTATTCATTAACTTAAATAAATTTTTCTCAAAATCATTCTTCGCGAGCGTTCTAAATTTTGTGTTAAGCTCTATGTAATCGCGAAGCCATGGTGACTGTGCAAATTGCAATACGCGATGAATCTTTGTTACATGAAGACCGTGACGCATGCATTGTTGTAAATTGCGATAATGTATAACGTAACGTTTTTTGTCATACACAGTCGCTAAAAGTTTATCCTGCTGCTTGCCAGGTGGTTTATCACGCGTTGGACAAAATGGTAGGTCAACGTGCTCGTCGTGCAGACGCTCCGGATATTCTAAGTCAACCTCAAGAACATAACCTGTAAGCGAATACAGAGCAATCGCGCTAACGTTAAAGTCCGAGACATTTTCGACCCATTGAAATTTGGCGTATGGCAACGGCTGACACATCGCTCATCCTTATAGATTATTAACATCGAAGTACATCAAGTACGTAGAAGGTTTCGACGAATCGTGCGACTGCATATATTTGTTATTGGCTCGCGCGTACCTGCTAGAACATTGACTAAGACCGCCGCGTATACCGCGCTCGATAAACATCACCATATCGATGTCGGTGAGCAGTTCGAAATTTACGCGTGTATGTTTCAACATAGCGTCCCACGTAAAACCTGGTAAAGTATAATAATATGCAGGGTCGAGGCCGTAACTTTCAATACATTTATCGCGAAAATTTTCAAAAATGTCAGCTAACAGCAACACGTCCGTTTTTAAATATAGATCGCTGTATTCACCCAAGGTTTGAACATAGAATTGTTGCCAAACGTTCACGGCGTGCGCGTAATCGTTTTCGGATACGGTGTCACCGGTCAAGGAACTGTAGAATGACTCGCGCGATGGTAAATGCGTATCCTGCAGCTTGTCGGCACAATCAATGTATTCGTATGGAAAAATCCCTTTTCGTATCAGTAACTTGAAATCATCTTCGGACAAATTTTGAAATTCGCATTGTAAAATTCGAAGTTCATTTTTATTGAGAAAGGATGCTAATTTATCGAGACTGCTACTTAAAAATTTATAAGAATCTATGAACCGTAATTTTATGTTATTTCGCGAATCTGATCTTTCAGCGGTATCTTTAACATTTTTTGTAAATGATATATATTTTTCCTTTGTTATTGGTAGTAATTCAATACTGCCTTCATATACTGTAGCTACTTCTTTGATAACAAAATGTGAATCATAGCCTGATAAATTGTGGAAAACTATGGGAATAAAATATGAGTTTTTATAATTTAAATTGCAATTTGAATGCGCGGGACCCCTGTAACGACCGGTTAAATGGCAATGATCTCTTACTCGATTATCGTCTGGCGCGAAAGGCTTTTCACACACGTGACAATGCGTCGCGCTGTGCAATGTCTCCCGCTGTTCGCTCGACAAAGTTTCCATGGGGACATTAGCTACTAAAATTTTTTTTACGGAATGTGCTAAACTTCTCAGTTCTTCAACGAACCATGAAACGCAATCCGGATCGCGATGAAATCGATATTTTGATAGCGAATTGTCGTATGAACAGCGCACGTAATATCCTATGCTAAATACTTGATGATGATGATGATACGTGAGCGTAGATGCTTCCTGATCGCCATCAGTTTTCTCGAGAATGCATTCTAGATCAGCGTAAACGACAAATGGAACTCGTTCCTTCCTATTATAGTTGTTAAAGCTCAGCCACTTGTCGTCGTTGCTCGGTAGTCGGATAGCGCATTCGTTTATCCGTTGGCAATCTACTATGTGTAACTGCAATCTCTCGTTGGAATGAAAATAATGTAAACAGCTGCAAATAAAAAATAAATGATTTTTTTTATTTTATTTTTTAAAAAGAATTTGCTTTTATTAATCATATACTTACTGATCGCAAATGTACTTTTGGCCATTATGTTTGTTCAATTGCTTGCTCATGAGCCGAGACAGATTCTTGATCCATGCGAAATGGCCCACATTGTCGTCTCGCGGATCTCGCAAATATAGTAAATCGACATGTTTCTCCTTTTTGTCGTCGATGAGTCGTATCGGGAGAACGTTTAGCGTATTTTGTCCCTCGATAACGTATACGTTAATAGACACGTCGTTGAGACGTTCGAATTGCGTTACGTCTTTTAACGTTATAGGAAATTCTATATTTTGGAAATTCAGCACCGTCGTATAGTGTGGGTAGGAAGATTCACGATCCGCGTTTCTTTTGGCTGGGTACAGAGCGGCGATCACAAACCACGCGAAGCATGCATTGTCCATCGATCGCACGTTAATCACCGCTCTCTTTGTCATTATCTCTCGCGGC